CTTTTCTAGGAATTTATAATTCTACTTTCTCATCTGACTTTCTCAATTAATGCAGATTCCTTTCATTTCCTCTTCTCCCACCCACCTTTAAGCCCTTTCAGTATAACTTCAATCACCATCAGTCTACGTGACTTCACTCTAGGAAGTAGTCAGTGTCCTCATTACTGAATGCACTAGCTTATACTAAACTTTCAGCCACTCAAAAATAAGTTTTGTTAAGGTGGGAATCAAGGGAGCTCCTTAGTTTTTCCACTTAGGTGATAAAAATACTTACGTAATGCCAGGGAGAGTGTTTTGTTTAAGGTATTCACATTTTACAAATTCAGAGGAATTCTTTACCTTGGGACTTTATGAAAACTTTGTAGAGAATGATAATATTCATACATGGTCCTGGGGAACAGTAACTTAAGGGAAGCAAAAAAGAAGAATTTTTTCAAAGTGTAGACTAAAAGCAATAAAGAAGAAAATTGATAATGCAGAAAATAAAATCAATTATGTAAATGTGTTCATTCAGAGGTGCTCTCCCAGGATGCAGGGGGAAACAGAAAAGATAAGAAAGTTGAGGTGTAAGATGATAGCAATGGAAGCCAAAGAATAAAAATCTATGGATGAAGAAGAAACAGTCCAATGGCTTAATAGAGGGAAACCTTCAAGCCTGAAGCATACTGTCTGTGGTAGGCAGAAAAGGTGTCCACATCCTAAGCTCTTTTTAAATAGGGGCCAACTGTCCCTCAGACCATTGGAGGGCCGGACTATAGTTTAAAAGGACAGGCAGTGGCAGCAAAAACACCTGGCTGGCCGGATAACTGTCCTCGGCAGGCCACATGTGGCCCGCAGGCCATAGTTTGAGGACATTTGCTCTAGAACCTGTGACAATGTTACATTACAGGACAAGGGAATGTGGCAGACATGATTAAAGGTTTTGAAAACAGGAAATTATTTTGGATGATCTGGATGGGTCCAACGTAAATACAAGGACTCTGAAAGAAGGAGACAGAGGCTGAGATTTAAAGAGGCTACACTGCACCTACATGAAAATGGGAAATGCCATTGAAGAAGGAGAAAAGGAAACAATCAAAAAAAAAAATGTACACTAAATGAAAGGAAAAAAAATCAAGCCTAAACATTGTGTGAATGGAAAGAATTCTTACATCAAAAGCAACTATCAGATTGGAGATTCAAAAAAATCTTTAAACTTTTTAAACAGAGTTTTCACAAAAAAAAAAGTAAAGAGAAGAGTAATCAGAAAATAACTTAGGAGTGACAACACTGATATCAGATAAGGTGTACCATGAGGGTTACTACTTAGTGATAAAAGCAAACTACATGAAGAAAATACAAGCCTTAAGCCTACATGCACCAATCCAGCAGCTACGTGTATAAAACAAAACTACTAAAAACCAAATATAACTTGAGCAAAATTTGTTATATAATAAAACATTTTAACATGTCTTTTTCAGAATTGGTCAGATTTAGTAGAATTTTTTTTTAATAAAAAAACTAAAAGTACACAAAGTTTGGTGTATCTATGGAAGAGTTACAAACATTGACCATATGGAAGCCATTGACTACACATGACAACTAAGCACTTGAAATGTGGCTAGTCCAATGAGATATGCTGTAAGTATGAAATATACATTAGATTGTGCAGACTTAACATGAAACTCAGAATGATAAAATATCTCAATAATTTTATATTGAATA